CGCGTACCGCCCGGGGCTGCGGGGCCGCGTTCCCCGCCCCTCGCCCTGCCCCGCCGCCGCGGAACCCAGCTCGGCTCGCTCCGCGTCCGGCTTATCCCGCTGCTAGGAGCGCCCAGGCCGACGGCCCCTTCCCCTGCCCTGCAGCTGCCGGGGGCCGGCCCCTATTGCAAGGAGGGTAAGGGATACAGGGCCCCGCTCGCCCTACCGCCATTCGCCCCCTTGGACTCTGCTGCCCCCGTCACCCAGGGACCCCTCCCCAATCACTCCCGAGTCCCCCCCACCCCCGCAGGAGGAAGGGGGAGGGATAACTAACCACCCTCCCGGCCTTCCCTAACAATCTGGAAGGGCTGCCTAGATGTTCACGTGTTAAACCTGAAACCCCCTCCCCCGAGGTGTTACTGATCCCCGGTTTGGGCACGGGGAAACTGAGGCACGGGATGGCAGGCACCTCATGGTTACATACTGACAGCAAAGGGACCCGGGCTAGAACCTAGGAGCCCGGACCCCTAACCCAACTCCCTCTCCGTGCAGAGCTAGAGAGAGAACCCGGGAGTCCCGCGTGGGCCGCCTACAGCCAGGCACCAAAGCAGTGACAGCCTAAAAGGCTTTAGGAAGTGGGGCGGCAGCCTTCCCCCAAAGACAGCGAATATCTCTGCCCCCGCCCCAATAGCGAATAGTTGGGGGGAAACAGGCAAGGGCAGGACCGGGGTGTCGCCCCCTCTTGCTCACCGCCTCCAGCCGCTTACATAGAAAGATTCCGAGTCACTATGTTACCCGGTTAAATTACACAACTGTTGCTAGAGAATGTGTGTGTATATATAGCCACAGAGTGCGGTGTGTGCCTGTCATGCCCGTACACACCAACAGCAACAGAATTCTACAACTCTAGAGCAGATCTAGATCTGGGTCACATATGGACACACGCACCTCATCTGTGTGTACACACACGTCAGTTTCTGTGTATACACACACTAAATCAACCCATGGCAACATGTGGCTAAATATATGTAGTGGCTTTGCATACACGCACTACACACACATTGATGGCGATGTATATTTTGCTTCTGTGTGCATATACACTGGTTGCCTACACGTTTGGCAAATATAGGTTGATAAATACGTTTAGTTTTGTATAAATGCACCGCGTACACATTTAGCAATGTGGGGGGGGGTGTATTTTGTTTCTGTGTCTACATGCACTATATGGCCATTTAGCAAGGTATATTTTGCGTCCGGATATATATACACTTCGTACACATTTAGAAATATATAGCGATCTATAGCTTGCTTTTAGTGTATCTATAAATTACAGACACCGTTGGCAATACGTGTTTATATCGTTTCTTTGCATCCATGCACGACATACACATTTAGCAATACATGGCGATATATACTTCGCTTTTTGGTATATATCTACACTAAATACACATTGGGCAATATATGGCTATATATCTATTTCGTTTCTGTGGATACATGCGCTCCATACACATCCAGAAATAACTGGTTTCTGTGTGTACACGCACTACATACACGTTTGGCGATACACGCAGGCTTGTCAGAATCCGAATTGAATGTTGTGATCCTTATCACAGATCATATCGAGGTTTATTTTCAAGCATTTTTTTATTTGTGTCCTTTTAAATGCTCACAGTTGCGGGGGAAATTATGGGAGCGGTCAGACAATAATTATTTAATGACCAGGAATGTTGAGATTCAGATAGTGAAAGATTTATAACCATTAAAACACAAATTGTCAGTGTCACCGGCCAACATGCAAAGTAAATATGTTTAACTGAAAATCGAATAAGTTCTCAAGCGGCATTTGTCTCACTTTGCCTAGCTGTAATTTATTAGTATTATTGTTGATGGAATTATTTTTTCCTTTGGTTTGAATGTCTGCGGTGAAAATTGGACTTTTACTGACATTTGCTGACAAAAATTCATCCTTCCAAGCCCAATATATGGTGATCTATCTATCTATCTATCTATCTATCTATCTATCTATCCCCAGCCACTCTATCTATCTATCTATCTATCTATCTATCTATCTATCTATCTATCTATCTATCCCCAGCCACTCTATCTATCTATCTATCTATCTATCTATCTATCTATCTATCTATCTATCCACAGCCACTCTATCTATCTATCTATCTATCTATCTATCTATCTATCTATCTATCTATCTATCTACACACAGAGAGAGAGAGAGTTTCTGTGTATAAATACACATACAGCAATATATGGTGACAGATCTATATATTCATTCCCACATCTCTTCATACACACACACATATTTTTATACTTTACTACCTATAATATATACACACGCACAAACACTATATATCCACAAACATACACGCCCATATTTACAAACATATCCATGTGCATCTGCTATATATATATCTCACCAATAGCCACACACGTATATGACTCGCAGATATCTGTGTGTCTATCCGTGTGTAGATAGATAGGTTAGAAGTGTTACAGTCTGGGCACATGCTGTTTTTGCATAGAAACACGGTAAATCTAGAGGTACAGATAATCCCAAACTGAGGTTCAGCCGGAGATACGTATAAATAAAGTCCCACACGCTTCAATCTAAAGCTGCAAACCCCCCAACTTTTCGGCATGTCGGTAGCCGTTTGGGCACCATTCTTAGCCATTCTTTTTATCTGAATAATTTCACGCAAATGACCTGATCTAAAAGGAAAACGTGTTACAAGCGGATCTGGCTGAACTGGGCAGTGTCTCCGCAGAACAGATGCTATTGTCAAATGGGGTCTTTGCTTTGATGTCCCCCCCACAAGGTACAATCCAAAGCCGAGAGAGGAATTAAAAACGTTTGAGGCCTTTTCTAACATGACTCGCAATCGTTTTGGGTACGGACAAATATCTGAATCTCTCTTCTACTTTCCCGGTCTGCTCTGGCTGAAGGGGAAAATGTGGCCGCTTCACCCGGATCTATCTAGCGACCGATCTATCTAACTCATCAACAAACAAACACAACAAATAGGTTAGCGTGATTTCCTTTTTAAAAATAGATTCCTCTATAAAAGTCCCTATATTTCCGAAGGGAATCTTAAAATGCAAGACGATGCCGTTCTTGGAACCCGTTTAGTTACAAAACCAAAAATAAAAACAAATCTTGGAGGGGAAATAAAGAAATCCCAGAGGAAGGGAGCTGGGTTGGGATATTTCTGAGTGTATAACGGGAAAGAAGAGGACGGCTGTTTCGAATTTCTTGTCTGCCCAGAATTTTTCTTTCCTCCACTGCAATGCTCCTGTTAACCCTGCTGCCATATTCGTTTAAAAAACAGGCAAACCAAGAAATCGAGGCTTTCAAAAATAACTCTGGTTGCAGCCGGGGGTTTCCCTCCCTAACCGGCCACGCTGTTTTCGAGCCATTCCGCGATTGTTATTTTGAATAAACCGTCACACACAGAGAGACGGAATAAAACATCCGTGGTGGCTCCACGCTCGGCTTTTACACCGCTCGCCCTCCTCTCCCACCCAGAAAGCGCCGGGGTCTCAGGGCAGGGCCCTGGCTTGCGGGTTTCTCCGCTCGAACCCCTCAGTGGCGAGAGGCGCCGGTTGAACACAGGGCTGAAAGGATCGCGGGGATGGAGTTGTGTCTTTAGTTATTTATTTATTTCCGCGGAGCAAGTGCTATTAAAAAAAAAACCCTCTTTAACTCGATGATGCTTCCATGACGCTTTTTTCCTGCGCCAAAGGTTTAAAACCCAAAGCCGCCCCGTGGGATCCTCCCCCTCCCCCGGGTGTGTTTATTTCGGGGAGAGGGGTCCCCTGCCCCCCACCAGCGCTGAATGCATCACAGAGACCGACCGTTTAAACGAGAAGAAGATAAAAACGAGGGGCGGGGGGCAGAAAGGCTCGGGGTGTCTGTGTCCCCCCCCCATCCCTTTTCCGCACCCCCCCCCCAGCACAGCCCTCTCCCGAACACACGCACCCAGTCTCCCAAATCTCTCAGTGAAGCCCTACGGGAGCTGGAGGGAGGAAGGGGGATGCCGGGCGGCGCAGGGGAAGGGGCAGCTGACAAGCAGGGACCCCCCGACCCCAGTCACCACCACCCCTTTTGCGTTGGTCCTTCGTGGGCAGGGGAGGCGACTGGAAAGGGACCGGGAGGGGCGCAGCCTCGCTCGCTCGGGCCCAGTTCGCCTGACCTGTACCAAAGCCACACGCCGCTTTCCCCTTCCGGGCCGCCTTCGGCCTTGGGGGGCGCTGGGATGGGGAGGGAGCGGACAGGCCCCGGGGCAGGGAACGAGCCGGGTTGGGGGTTATTATGGGGGGTATTATTGTTGGGGGGGGGAAGGAGGTGGGGATCGGAGCTGTTCCGGGGAGAAGGGAGCGGGGCTCGAGGCGCTCTATATGGGGCGGAGGTGGACCTGGATTTACCGGGGAGGGCTGGGGGGGTGATTGGAGGCTGGGGTGGGATGGGGGGTACCGGGGATGGGTGTAGAGGGGGTAGGATGGAGTGTAGGGGATGGGGAAGTGCAGGGGTGGGATGGGGTGCAGGGAGTGGGGTATACGGGATGGGATACAGGGAATGGGGAGTGCAGGGGTGTGATGAGGTGCAGGGGATGGGAATGGAAGTGGTATAGGAGTTGGAAATACAGGGGGCGAGATGGGGTTGCAGGGGATGGGGTGCAGGGGATGGGATGGGGTACAGGGGATGAGATGGGTTGCAGTGTATGGGGTGGGGTGCAGGGGATGGGTTGGGGTTGCAGGGGTGGGTTGCAGGGGATGGGTTGCAGTGTATGGGGTGGGGTGCAGGGGTTGGGATGGGGTTGCAGGGAATGGGGTACAGGGGATGGGGTACAGGGGATGGGATGGGAGTGCAGGGGATGGGATGGGGGTGCAGGGGATGGGGTACAGGGGATGGGATGGGGTTGCAGGGGATGAGGTGGGGTGTAGGGGATGGGGTGCAGGGGATGCGCCCTAAGGATCGGCTGGGGGCCGGGGCCGCGCTCCCCCCTTACCTCGCACCAGGATCCGGCGGCAGTAATCCGCTTCTCCTCCCCCGGACGGGCTGTCGCTCTCCGGGACGCACTCCTGGGACGAGCCGGGGCTGGCCGCCGAGGTCCCCGGGACGTCCTTGAGTCCGAGTCCGCCGCCGCCTCCCCGCAGCGCCGTCTCCAGCTCCCCCCGGGCGCCGCTCTTCCCCCGGGCTCGCTCTGGCGCGCCCGGCTCCCCCAGCAGCAGGGGGTTTCTGCCGGCCTGGGCCCCGCCATCGCTCATGCCTGTGGCCGCCGCGGAGGGATCAAACATCAAGAGACAGAGAGCGGGGCGCGGGGGGCAGCTGTCTTCCTGCCCCCCAGACCAGTCGGGGATCAGCGCCCTGGCGCCGGCCGGCGGCAGCCCCGGGGTGCAGCTAAGGAGCCCTCCCCCAGGGCGAGCACCATGGTCGGGAAGACCCAGCGAGGTCCCCCCCCTTTCCGGTTCCCTCCTGGCTCTCTCTCGCCCTACTCACGCAGCCTTTCCCCCCGGGCTGCGGGGCAGGCTCGGTCCATTTAAACAGCCCCTTCCCCGGCCCCCCTTCTGCTCCCCCCCCTCCAGGGGAAAAAAAACCCAAACCAAATTTCAATGGAGGAGTCAAGAAATGCCGGTGCCCGCCGGGCGCCTGGGGCAGAGGCGGGTGGGGGAGAAAAGAGTTAAAAACTTTGACAGTCCTGGTACCTTCTCACGTACCCCCTCCTCCCCCCCCCCCCCACGCACCCCTCTTCCTGGCAAACTTCAACAGCCGAGCCTGCCTCCTGCGCGGACCTCTCCTTCCGTGTCTCCTTCTCCCGTGTCTCTCTCTGATGAGCAAAAACCCGAGGAGCGAGCCAGTGTCTGGCCAAGCCCTGCCTTCACAGCTCTGCCAGCCAGGCTGATTCGCGTGCCCAGAGATCGATCCTGCTTTGGGAATGGAGGTGGATTGGGGGGGTGGGGGAAAGGGGAGGGAGTGAGGGAAGGGGGGTTAATTAAAATAGTCCGGGCTATTTTTCAGACGCCCCCTCCTTTTCTCCATCTCTCATCCCCCGGCCGATGCAGACAAGAAGAACCGATCATCAGCGTTAATCGAAGGAACAGGGACGTCCTCTGCTACCGGCGGCTCGCCGCAGCCTGACGGGGCCGGCCCGCTCGTCCCCGGGGCAGCGGGAGAGTGAGCCGGGCGAGGGATGGGAGTAAAGAAGCAGTTTGAAATTGACTGCTTGCCACACACGTAATTTCCTGCCGCAGCCTCCCTGGCTATTGATTGGCAAACAAAGAGTCGCTGGGCTTTGCCCCCCTCGGCAGGCGAACCCCCTTCGGCTCCTTTCCGAGGGAGCTGGGCAGGGCCTGGCTATAAAAGGGCGCCCGGGGCATTTTCAAGGTGTAATTTGGGGAGGAAGAGCAACAAAAGGCCACGGGCTGGTCAGTTACTTAACCGGGTCCTTCCTGGGCCGCTAGCCCCGGTTGCAGACAGGCGCTCAGTCCGGGGGGAGGCGGACAGAGCCTTGGCGAGCCTGGGGTCCCAGATTCCCGAGCGATCAGCTTTTCCAACCGCTGAGCGGCAAACAAACTAACACATACACTGGTGTGGGCGGATGCTTGGTGTGGGCCGCGTTGGAAAACAGACCCAGCGCTTTAGTTTTATAAGCACTTTGTTTAAAAAAAGGTATGTGATCGGGGTATTCTTTTTGCTTGGTTTGTTGGATTGGATTTTGCAGATAGACTATTATAGAATTGCCCTTCTCTTCCCCCCCCCCCGACAGAGTACCCTCTCCCCCCATCGCTGATCCAAGCGGGCAATAGATTGCCCCTCTCGTAAGGGGAGTATTTTTGGGTAAATGTTTGTGATTGTTGTGATTGAGCCCGGCTCGTGCGGACACGCCAGAGTGATTCCTGGAGTTGTCAATTCCCCTCCTCAGATCTGGTCCCCGAGTGCTACAGAAAAGCCCGGCTCTGGGTAGGGCCACGTTCTCCTCTCCTTAGAATTCATTTCTCCATTTTGGGGGGCTCCCGATGCCTTTATTATTGAACGCAGATGTGGGGGCGATTAGCCTCCGGAGCCCGGGAGTTAGAAAAACACAGGGAAGGGTTTTTTTAATTTGCAATCACAGATGTTCATTTGCCGAGACACAATGGCTTTCTGCCACTGCTCCTGTTGGAAGTTCGACCCTCAGTCTATCCCTGGGTCACCCCTGTTTATACACCAGCGAGTTCTTCACAATGCTGGGGGCGGAATGGCCGAAAGGGACCGTATATCGCAGCCCATCTGAGATTTTAGTTCATCAAGGCGCTAAGAGTTTCCCAGCCTGCCTTCCTTTTCTGTATAGTCCCACCGACTTCTCAGAAATATGCCAGCAACTCGTATAAACGACCAAGTGAAATTGACCACCAGACCTTGAATAGTTCTGATCGGGTGCCTGATTGATTCTTGTCACCCGGCGATCATTTTGAAACTTTGCTATAACGTACTTTTGATGGTTCCAAAATGTTCATCGATTCAATCAACTTGGGTTGCACAGCGCGCTCGTCCCAAAGTTTAAATAGATCACAGAAAAAAGAACGTCAAAATGATCTCAGACAATGACCAGGTTTTATTCGAAACAAAATCCAATACCCAAGATGCATCTTCTATTATAAATTCTACACCATCCAGCACATTTCTGCAGCTCGACGCAAAACAAATCAGTTCCCAAATACCGACCGTACAACTTCCCCTAAACTGCCTATTTCCCCCCTTTGAGGTCAGGTTAGATTGGTGCAACTCTGGAATAATCTCGTTGATTTACACCGCTATAACTGATCGCAGAATCGGTTTTATTACTGGGTTTCTAGGTGTTTCTTTCAATTGTTTGTTACAGCCATTTCAGAGTCTGAGTAAAAATAAAGGCGTGGACATTGCACATGATTTTGATTGAGTTATTTTGTAAAGAAAGAGCTGTGATTATTGGCATTTTAAGATCACGCAAAATACACTGGAAATTCAGAAGCATTTTTTTCTTTTAACTCACCCTCCTTGGTTTTTTTTCTTCCTTTTTCTTTCTTTACATAATCAAGTAAACTTTAAATAAAAGACGCTGAACTGCGCAATTTAATTTGGGAAAGCCTCAACATCGAAGTGATTTCGGTTACAATTCCTCAGGATAAAAGAAACAACCCTGCTTTTAATCCAATTGGCAACTGATGACAGCTCTTCTCTCGCCATCCCCAAGCTAGGAAACTTTGGGAGGTTTACAAGGAAATTAACACCGCCTGTCTTTGAAACTTTACAGACGGCGTCTTTTGCTTCACTGGTGTCAGAACTTGCGACGCAAAAGAATAACCTGGTTGATTTGGCTGTTTTGTGTGTGAGAGGGCGGTGTGTATGATGGGGTGGACATGGATTTGACTGGAATACAGATAGAGATAGAATTTAAATCCGAGCTGTATCATTTCCCGCGTTAAATCCCGGGATAGATTTCTTGTGGGAATCACCCGGATAAATAAGATCCTCTGATCTTAAATAGATAGATAGATAGATAGATAGATAGATAGATAGATAGATAGATAGATAGATAGATACCGTAGATAGATAGATAGATCCCTATACGGATTCTGTGCTTGGGAAGATGAGGCCTTAACATGTGAGAACTAGGAAGTGCGGTCAGTTTTCCACTTTGGGTAAACTACTGCAGGATCGGGCCCCGGATGATGCACATTTATTGAAAAAATAAGCGGTGTTCCCCGACTCCCCCCCGCTCAGAAAAGAACGATCTACAGACACTGGAAGACCGGGCTGGGAGCGTGGAGCTGGTCGAACTAGTTCCGCTCCCGGGCTCTGCCCGAGGCCCTTCGGAGGGCGTCCCTCCAGTATCCGTGCTGCGGTCTGTCTACACAGCCCGCCCGCCCCAGGGACTGGCCGCAGAATAAAGTGAAAAGGGGGGGGGGCTGGTTTCTTTCAGATCAGAACAGAACGACAGCAACAAATAATTGG